AATGAAGAAAAACTAATGCTCAATATTTATACAATAAATCCAAATATATCCTAATGATGTAGTATCATTAAATAAATGTTAGTCAAATTGCATAAAAATGCAAAAAAAAAAAAAAAGAGCCAAACATCAGGACAACTAGGTCAAAAAAACAAACAAACAGTCACTTTGCAGCCTAAGCTAAGGGTTAGCAAATGTAGCAAAGGTGTATATCGGTACAGTAGATAGACTGTAGGCCACAAAACTAAGGTTGTGATGAAATGTCACTTTAGCTAATGTAAAGTGCTCTGTTAAACACAAGTGTCCTTCTGTGTTTAGTCTGTGTCTGTCTCAGAAACACACACAAAAAAAAAAAAAAACACAAAACAAAGAGATGGGACCAAATTGAAACAAATGGACAAGGACATGCACATAAATCCAAATTACTGGACACTCAGCTGAGTTTAAGGTTGTTGAGGTTAAACGCCTGATGCATCTGAGAAACATTTAGTACCGGGGGGAAATTTCACTTCAGTGTCACCTTCAGGAGGCGTACGTAGGCGAGTGGCATGTGAGTGGAACACTGTAAAACTCTGTAATAATGGCTGGAACCTTTTATTTACTCTCTATGAAAAGGGAGCACTGTCTTTTTTTTTATTTTGTTTTATTAGTGCCAGGAATAATTTGTGCTGACAGAATGTCAGTAGCTTTTATTTCTTACAGGGACTCGATTTACTGCTGTTCAGCCATAAAAAAATATAAGACTATACTCAAATCTGTACGCAGCTCCGTTCTTGCTCGTGTCACTGCTTCCACAGCAACCGGTTAAACAAACCCTGCGTACAGACGAGCAGGTACAGTTGGTGGAAATGCTTGTAATGTTAGTAACTGTGACATCAGCAGTACTGTTGCCCTCGAAGGGATGGCTGTAACTGAAAGACTGTATAGACGTAACTACTTCATAATCTATTACTAACACATTACTGCTTGTATCGTAGTAGTTGTGATTTATGGTCAGTATACGCTTTGAAGCAACAAAGACTTTATTATAAGGCAATTTTGAAGCTCCCACGGGCCACACAAAAGTGACTTGATGGGTCGCATTTGGCCCAAGGGCCTTAAGTTTAACACGAGTACCAGAACATTTTCAAAAAAGGTTTGTGATATAAGGAACATCGACAAGAATTGACCATAAACTCCAAACAGCGGTTCTTAACATTTTTACAGTATACACTATAAAAACACCACTCCAAGTACTACCAGTACTACTACTACCAAGTTCAGCTGTACAGCAGACCTACTCTGTTCCAGTTAGGGTGCTGCTCATTTGTTCCTAATAGACTTAATAGCCTATTTATTAACTAATGACACACTGTACAATGAAGTAGTACTACAACTGGTACTTGAACTCAATTCATGTCCACCTCCCACTCTCTTACTGCTCCTTTTGAGAGTTCCACTCTGCAACAAGTGTCGCAGTGTTTTCCCGTACACTTGTTGTATCCTTTCAAAATGTAACCATTAACGTTTAATCACTGAAAAAGAACATCGGGTCAGGAGAAATTTGGGGTTTGATGCACGAGATAAAAGTTGGAAATCTATCCATTTTTTATTTTAGAGACATTTGCTGTCATAATTTGAGTTAAAGCCATGGACTTATCTGTCCTGCCTACTGTCCAGATCTCTGTCCTGTTAAAAAGGTCTGGTGCGCGTGCAGTCAGAAATAACCCACTTGTAAAATTGCAACACATCGTAAGATCTTAGTCTCCAAATGATTAAAAAAAAAGTAATTAAAGAAATAGAATACCAGATTTAAGTGAAGATTACTTTGGAAACGAGTCTGGGCAACTATTAATTTAAAACATTAAATCTCTGCCTTTAAATGATGCAATAACAAAATGAAAGTTTAATGTTTTACTTACCTGCAAATTAAGTCTGTAATTGTGCTTTAATCTTACGGCCAAACTTGTAGCCGTTGTTCTCTAGCTAGTTTGTGCTTGGCCTTCAGACAAACAAAGTGTAAATACAGCCGTTGTTCTCTAGCTAGTTTGTGCTAGGCCTTCAGACAAACAAAGTGTAAATACGAGAGTACTGTGTACTGAAATACCACCGTATCGATTTACTGACGCACATACAGAGGCAATACAGTAGTGATGCAAGTCGCAATTATGTTTGCCTGCTAAGTTAAGGATTTTGTGTCATCGCGTGCGGGATATTGAGCCTGTACTCAGTATGTAGAGGGCAGCAGGTCCCTCACGGAGAACACGCACTCCTCTCTCTAGAAGACGAGCCTGTGTACTTTATTGGTTATTATTTCTTCTGTGTCAGTGGAGCATGTTGCGTCAGCCTTCAAAAACTCCTGCAGGGAAAACAACTGGACCTAGAAAACTCTTTTTAAGATGATTAAGACTCAATAGTATCGGACTTGTGAAAGCTCGGTAGCACACAAACGTAATGGCTGCACACGAGGCGTTGGTACATAACCGAACGAAATAGGCAATAATTGAGTTTTCTCCATTCTGAAATCTTTGTTCTACTTCAGTTCCCTCCACAGCAGTTCCTCTGCCTTTCAACTGTTACATCAAGCACCTCCTTGTCCTTCACAACATCCAGGGATCTTCTCTGGGGCCTTAATCTTTTCCACTTTCTCTCCTCAACACATGTCCAAAAACCAGCTCAACCTTGTCTCCCTGCTCAACTTCACATGACCTCTCTATCACTTTTTATCTTCGTCACACCTACTGAGAATCTCAGCATCTTCAACTCTGCCACCTCCAGCTCAGCCTCCTGTCTCTCAGACGGCACCTCTGTCTCCGAACCATCAATCGTAGACGGTCTGAGTAGAATTCCCGCACATTTATTACCACATTTTAATATATGCCACAGATATCAGTAGTTCACTACTACCTCGTTAGAAACTAACCCCCCTCGATAACTACGACTTCATTTTCCTTATCCAGAGCAGTCGCTTCAGATGTCCTCCACATAATTCTTCCAAGCAGAATGAGGTCAGTTTTTTGGATTCCAGTGTGAGAGGTTGTCATTACTGATATGTGAATTCACTTTTCCAAAGCATGACTGCTAGATTTATGCCGCTGCATTTGGACTCTCCATAATTCATGTTTGAGATATATACATTTTTTTTTTCTGCCTCCAAATCTCACTCCAATTCTGCTCACACAGGAAAAGAAGAATAAGTAATATTCTCTTCATTTTTTTTTTTGGAAAAATCTAATTTTGAGACTAGATGGTTTTACCAAAAAACGGTAGATTTTCTATAGTTATATCGTTGAGTTGTATATGTTTCAGTGTAAATTAATTAGGTTACAGATACCTCAAAGTTTGGACAACTTAAAATTGATGCAACTGCTACCTTTGTTCATTACAGATTGAAATATTGTCTGCAAACATTATAATCCACTAAGACCTAGCTGACATCAATCATTAGCCTCACAATCAATGTTTTTTTTTCTTTTACCTATCCCTCACTCCGTCTGTACAATTCACCTTTCCTTATACTGATTGGCACCACTCTCATGTACTTTTGTGCCACGGCTGAATTTGTCATACACTAACATAGTTAATATGTCTATCCTTACCACATGCTTCGATAGGATATGTGAATACTTTGGTACTTTTTCTCATCTCCGATTAGCTTTAACAACCCTTTGATCAATTACATCACTGTATACTGGACTGAGTCAGGGCTGGCTACTGTGAGCCTGAAGCTAAAGTCATGAAAACAGGTAACCCCCCCTCCACCCCCCGCCCTAGTCATCACTGGCTGTTGCTGAGCGATGTTGGATTTCGTCTTTCTTCTTCATGACGGCGGGTGTAGTCATTCCAACCAGTCTGTTGAAGTCCAAAGTGCTTTCACCAGGCGTTTGATGTTAATAATGAATGACTCTTTTATACCCTGCAGCTGTAAAGTTCATGCAGAGAATCACTGCATTATTCTGACAGTCAGACACCGACCCGACCACGGTACGTGAACTGCTGTCTGCTGCAAAGAAATTGATCTGTGTGAAAAACATGCAGTAGATTAAGTCTGATAAGAATGTTCCCTTTTTTTTGTACAAATGATACCAATAACGTATGGGATTGATACCAACATCAATCTGATACGTTTCTTTCTCCACCAAGCTGCCGTTCTTCTGATAGTGTCCCTGTTTACTGTACGTTGTGTAAAGATAAGTTGAGCATTTGATCTTAGGGATCGGATCAAATGGGCTATAGTTGATTTTTTCTTCCACCAAGCTGCCGTTCTTCAGGTGATAGATTCCCTGTTTACTGTACGTTGTGTAAAGATAAGTTGAGCATTTGATCTTAGGGATCGGATCAAATGGGCTATAGTTGATTTTTTTCGATGTTCAATCCTGAAATGTTGACATATGTTGCACGGATACGGATGTTGAGTATTGACTTGAGCCGTCTCTAATCTTAACTTTTTTTATTATCTTTTGCTAGATGGTTATCTGTCTAGATGGTTGATTGACTATTTTGTTTCTTTTATTTGCGTTTTAACAACCAGCCATTTTTGGCCAACATTTTTTGCTTCTTTTTTTTTCCGACTATTTCAACGTTTTACTCTTTAGAAAGCTTTAGAAAACCTTTATGTGTTAAACTGTACTTGTTTTTTTAGGATACGTTTTACCCATATCAGCTATTTCTTTATTATTGAGGTTATTATGCACTATTTTTGTTGACCCATAGCCTTTTCTTTGACGATGTCTGGCCCCAAAAGTATTCATTAGAGTTTTATAACTACCAAAAAAAGAAACAGAAACAAATACCTATTACCTTCTCTAGTGTATTTTTAGTGTTGTAAAACTTTCCAACTTTTATTTCTTAACTTTTATTTTGAAACTAAAATGTATAATAGCTGTGTGTTTTATGTGCAGGGATTTAATTACTCAGGGCAAATTAACAAACCAATAAAATCCACTGAATAATGTGTAGAACATGCAGTGATTTGTGACTGTGAGCAGCCAGGTTTTCCTTCAGGTCAGTGTCTGTTTGCTCACCTTCGATGGCAAACGGCTTCCCCACGGTGAGCAGTTTACAGTCTGCGTCAATAGAGACCTCAAAGTCCAGAAGAGCTTTGTCCATGATGAATGCATCCAGGGTCGGAGGATCTGTCCTTCACTCCCAACACACACACACACACACACACAGACAAACAAGACCAAGGCATTAATTCAGGACAATTAACTTTTATAGGCCTTTAAATCTGATTTAGTTTCTCAAAGTTTTTCAGGAAATCCTGCAGGAATATTGTATTTTGGGCTGTCATCCCACTTTGTCATTTATATGGGGGATGAAGTGCATTCTAATGGAGTGTGTAAACACATACATCATTACCTAAACCAACAGGCTCTGTGGCGGCCTGATAAGACTTTATGCGCACCGCCAAAGACTCCGGCGTCCCATTAATATCGATCCAATTGACCCTTTCTGACCTGTAATTATAGACTGCTCTTCTGTGAGCAGCACGAGCCGCTGATCGCTGCAGCCGGAGGATGCATTTCAGGATACAGACGGACAGGGAACACGAGGCAGGTTAGAACGGAGTGGGCCGCACGTATGCCACGAAAACAAATTCTATAGCATCTAAAGGTCTTTGGTGTTCTGTAGAAAGTCCCAGGAACGTTCCACAGAATTATTGCTGTTTGTTCTTTTGTTGAGGAAACAAAACGAGATCCTGAAGGAAAGTCTGAAATTTCAGTCGGGGTCAGAAAATACTGAAGAAAATATAATCTTGTAAAAAGTTGTAATGGAAAAATTTCAGTCTTGTAGAACTCATCTCAAGTTTGTAGAAAAACATCATTTTAGGAAACCAACAGAATTTGGCAGTTTGGAGAATGTATCTCAGAGATCAAATAAAATATGAATTTCTTAAGTAAAAACTGGGGAAACTTAAATCATAGACTTCAGAATAGAAAAGGTCATTATTAGAGTTAAAGAAATACAATCTGTCAACTCAGATAGATATCAATGACCTTTGGACTCAACAATGGGAAGAA